CGACTTGATTCTTGGCCACTGCAACAGCAACAACATTATGAAAGAATGACCTTGTGTTTGATTGTTGTTGTTATTGTTATCGTTGCTGTGATTTCCTGCTGAAGAATTCCCAAACGCACAAAAACAATGATGTTATTATTTCTCCCCTTCCCATTGGACTTGTTGCCTGGATAATGCCGTTGTTGTTGTTGTTTTCAACTTTCTAAATTGTGTTTTTGCTGTTGCATTTGTTGTTATATGGTTTTTATGTTCTATTGGCAACTATCAATCAAATTTATTGTTTCATTTCGTTTTATTTTCTTCATTCATTATATTCCCATATTGGTTCAACGTTTTTGTTTTTTTTTTTTTGTTATTTTTGTAGCAGATTTTATTGTTGTTTTATATGTGTTAGTATGTGTTTCTTTATTTTTCTTTTTTTTGTGTTATTAGTTCAATTACATACTCCGTTGCTAGTTGCTTTTGTTGTGTCTGGGGTCGTTGTTGTTTATTTGTTAACTTGTCCCAATAGCCGATTGTTGTTAATGAGAAAACTTCCGGCCATTACTGATGTGTGTGTGTGTGTGATTGTGCTTCCTCTAGATTCGCTAGAGCATTCGTTGCCTTTGTATGTAATCTTGAAAACATATCGTTTGGGATTTTGGTCCAGTTTGAGACTGCTAATGAATTTTGTGATTGAGCAAAATGCAATATGGCTTTAAAAGGGGATGCATTTGTTATGGACCTCAATGACGTAAATCTTGCATAAATATTCGTCTCGTTTTTAACGTTTATTTTATGCTGCACCAGTCCAGTGCATCAATAAAACCGTACACGCATCTGTACACCGCCGATGAGCTGATAACCGTCTTTAAGTTTAAGGGCGTCTTTACACGAACGAGCCAAAGGGCGTCTGGACCCGGTATGCCAGAAGGCATCAGTACGACGAATTGACGGTGGTGTCTACGTAGAGAATTCGGAAGACATTTGTGAACAGACGTCCCGGAGGGCGCTGGCGCCTTAGAAGAGCTGAAGGGAATCATTAAAGTTTCGAAGGGAGAGGACCTTAACCTGAAGGTCGTATGTTCATAGACATTTTGGAGGGCATCTGTGCACAGACGTCGATCAGAAGGGAAGGCGATATTACATAATGGACGATAGATATTACATGGCCGTATGTACACAGACTACATTAAGTGACATTATTCACCGGAATTGTTTCAAATTTGGTGTTTGAAGTTTGTAATGGATACTACAGCCTATGACAGAAATTTGTCTGTGCAGTTCACGTTTTCGTATAGCCTCAATTCACCTCCCTATATTCGGTATTTTGATGATTTTAGCTACATTACTTACCGATTTTTATACCCTACACCACAAGGTGGTCAGGATATTATGTCTTTGTGCATTTGTTTGTAGCAGGCAAAAGGAAACGAGATAGACCCATAGTTCCTTTTTATGATCGGCATAGAATCACATTCTGAGTCGATTTATGCATGTCCGTCCGTCTGTCCATGTATTTTTGTAAACAAAGTACAGTTCGCAATTATTGCCCTATCCAGATGAAATCTAGCACAAATCATTTGTTTGGCCCAAGGACGAACCATTTTAAAATTGGAGATAATCGGTCAAAATTTAGATATAGCTCCCATATATATCTTCGTCCGATTTGCCTTTTATTGTGCACTAAACGTGTAATATCAGCCCGAATGGTATGGAATTTTGCACATACAACCAAATTAGGAAATAACGAAACGATTCCGGTTAATAATGTTGCTGAAATCATCAAAATACTGGCTACAGACCATTTGATACTACCAAAACGTGCCTCATCAAAATAACGGTTTTAGACTCTCTCTTTGGAGCAAAATATTTTCAGGACATTTGGAGTCGATCGAGGGGTGTCCGTCCGTCCGACTGGCTGGTACACACGATAACTTTCGAAGGGAGTATCCGATTTGGTTCAAACTGAGTTCATCGTAACATTATTGTCAAACTTTGATCGAGTTTGGGATGGGCAACTTCGGTCCACTCCTTCTGGTACCTCCCCCACAAAAGGTCAACATTTTCAAGGAAAATAATTGACCGCATAGAAAGTAAAATGATCATTTGATTTTGTGCAAACTTTGCAAATCCCAATATTTTTGTCAATGCTAGGCGAAGTGCGAAAATGGACAATATCGGCTCACTCCATTAAGTCACTTCATCAAAAAGAGTCAAATTTGAAATAAGAATCCGATTGTCTTCAAATTTCACACATCCCAATATTTTCTGTTAACACAAGATCTGTTGTGCGGATGGTAGATATCGGCAAACATCTTATGGTGCCTCCTTCACAAAGGGTCAACATTTTCGGTTTCGGTCGGTTTTGCCGACAGATGTATGCCCTCAACAACTGTTCGATTATTTAAATATATTTTGAATTCTATTATGATTATTCAAATTGTTGACCGTCTATGGAGTAGGCTCCGAATGAATGGGCCTATATTGTCCATTTCGTATCGGACCTAAATATATAATATAAATACAGAGTGAGATAAAAAAAAAACTGCAACAAAGTCAAACGCCATAATTTCTACATTTTTTTTAGTTTTATTGAATGAAAGCAAAAAATGTCGGAAATATCATCAAATTTAAGAATAAGTTTAGATTTGTTCGAATTGGTCACCTTTGACACGTATTATGGCCTTCAAACGGTCACACGCTGCCCGAATGTTGCTCTGCGGTATTTTGGCCCACTATCGGCGAAGCGCTTGCTTGAGGTGATCGACATTTTGGAATTTTTAAGTGAAAACGACGACAGACACAATAGTCCACAGGATTGGTATCCGGAGATTTTGGTGGCCATTGTGCGCTGGAAATGAAGCGAGGAACCTCATTTTGTAACCATTCTTGGGTGGCGCGTGCTGAGTCTTGTTGAAATGTCCAAGGTCTGCGGCCAAATTTAATATTTAAAATATTTTCGCAATAATATTCGGCATTTATTCTGATGCCACGGTCGATTAATACGAGAGGAGAGCGACCATCGGCTGTTATGGCGGCCCACACCATCACAATGGCCGGCCAACCGCTGGTGGACATTTTCAGCTGACCTCTTTGGCAAGTAAACACGATCATTTTGTTTGCTTACAAACTGCTGGACATCGAATGTTTTCTCATCGGAGAAAACCAAATTCGGCAGTTCACTACTTTCGGCCAAGCGAAACAACTCTTTAACTCTTTTCAGTGTATTTTCTTTCAATTGCGGTGTAAGTTCTTGCACTTTTTGGAATTTCAATGGCTTTACTAAGAGCTCATTTTCCAACATTTGCCGAATGGAATATTGCGATATGTTCAGCTCACGAGCAATTTTTCGGCCACTGCGACGGGGGTTTCGATCAAGTCATTTCTTTACTTTTCGAACCATTTCTGCTGATGTTGTTGTTTTCTTCCGTCCACTTCCTTGACGTCGGGCGACGCTACCAGTATCACGGTAACGAGCGATGGTACGAGACACACAAAGATTTATTCACGTTTAAGTAGTGCTCTAACGATAGCCACTTGTGGTTTTCCAGCCAAATATAAAGAAATCACTTTATCACGCTTGAATTACATCACGAATAATTTTTTTTCTGGAAAATTCTCACCAAAATACTTGTTTACGCTTGTAAACAATATAATGAGCTGTCACTGGAATAATTTTAATAGCTGTCGGACGAGTGGCTTAGGAATGTCAGCAGCCTGACTTTGGTTGCAGGTTTTTCATCTCGCCCTGTATATTCTTCTTCAGCATACAATAATATGTTGATTTAGGGACGTCCGTCTGTGGAAATCACTCTAGCTAATGAACGAAATGGACTAAGTTGATAAAATTTTACTCAAATGTATATTATGTATGCAGGACTTTTAGTATTGAAAATGTGGCATGTAGGTCCACGTTTTGGTATATCCCCCAGATAAAAGTACCTCCCGATTTTCGATATTTTGATGATTTTAGCGACATTATTCACCGGAATTGTTTCAAAATTTGTATTTGAAGTTCGTAATGGATACTACAGCATATGCCACAAAACTATCCGTACAGGTCGACGCCATCGTATAGCCTCCATATGACGACACGTCTCGATATTCGGCATTTTCTTGACTTTAGAGACATTATTCACCGGAATTGTTTCAAATGTTGTATTTGAAGTTCGTAATGGATACTACAACATATGCCACAAATCTGTCTCTACAGATCCACGCCATCGTATAGGCCTCATATAACGACACCTCCCGATATTCGGTATTTTCATGACTTTAGAGACATTATTCACCGGAATTGTTTCAAATTTGGTATTTGAAGTCCGTAATGGATACTACAGCCTATGACAGAAAATTTTCTGTACAGGTCCACCTTTTGGTATAGCCCCCGTATTATGGCACCTCCCTATATTTTGTTTTGTGATGAATTTAGCTACATTATTCACAGAATTTTTGCTTCAAATTTCGCTTTTGAATATTGTAATGGTTTATGACAAAAGTTGCCAATGCACCGTTATAGACCTTAATATAATGATTACATTCGGCATTTTTAAGATTTTAACAGAATTTTTAACGGGTTTAATTTTTTTGAAAACTGCCAAATTCGCTCCAAAATGGTGGAGGGTATTCAAAGTTTGGCCCGGCCGAATTTACAGCTTTTTTACTTGTTTTTACTTTATTTTTTTGTTTCCAGAAGTGTTACTTTCAACTCAACTGTTTTTGTATTTGTTCTCTTTAAGCTTATCTCAAATTATAAAAATACAAATAAAACATTTCCAAGTATGGAGAGGCTACTTTAATAATTAAATAAAAAAATAAACTTTTGTATTATTGTTTCACGTCCAACAGCGTTTATATTAATATAATTAGACTATGCCTATGTGCGGATGAATTTTCCGTTTTTTTTTTTTTTTTTGTTTGGCAAAAATGTTTTTCTGTTTCGATTTAATATCATTAGTTTATCATGCTGTGAAAATATGTTGAACGATTAAGATGAAGTTTTGCTGGCAATCACTTACCTCCCAATGGCTAAACATCAACTGGGGACAGGCTAATCCGGAGGTTTGTTTGCGTATCTCTTGAGCAAAGTTGAACGACTCAATTACGGGGAGTATGGCCATTACGGAAAAGTTGCCAGAACCTTGGGTAAGGTCACCAGACAGTATCTTACCGTGACGTCGTCCAATAACAGCATACATTTTTCCTGAAGAAAAAAAAAACAAAACAGAAAGTGAGAACGAAATGAAAAGATTGCTGATACAGTTGAATGAATAATTCATAAATTCCTGAAAATGTTGCAAGGAAAATTGGGAAAGAAAAAAAAAACTTTGTGTGGCATGGCAAAAATAATTACAGGAAAAGAACGGTCTGTAATGGGAGCGAAGGAAAAAATAGAAGGCACGTGTTTCGACGTTTTGAAAATTAACGTCGGGAGTGCGTAAATATTTGAAGGCTTTGGCAAAGATTCTACTTGAACAGTATGTAGAACCCATACCGAATTGTAAGCCATTCCGCTGGCAACAGAGGCTAAAATCGTCAAAATCGAATATATTGAGGTGCAATTATCTACAAAAACGTTGACGAATATAGCCAATCTTCGAAATTTGACCTGCTTGCAGACAACCCTATGTAAACACTTAAACCAAACCAGGGGATAATTTTATACAAAGGCTGTGCCAAAAAAAGAGTATATTAATAATTTCTTCAAGTAGGGTTTCTACAGGGTGAGATAAAAAATGCAACCGAATTCAAACGCCATAATTGTTACATTTTTTTAAATTTTATTGAATGAAAGCAAAAAATGTCGGAAACAGCATCAAATTTTAGAATAATTTCAGATTTGTTAGAATTGGTCACCTTTGACACGAATTATGGCCTTCAAACGGCCAATGAAACCGTCACACGCTGCCAGAATGTTGCTCTGTGGTATTTTTGCCCATTCCCGGCGAAGCGCTTGCTTGAGGTGATCGACACTTTGGTATTTTTTAGTGCCAACCTTGCTTTCCAAAATACTCCAAACACAATAGTCCGACGGATTGGTATCCGCAGATTTTGGTGGCCATTCTGCGCTGGAAATGAAGCGAGGACCCTCATTTTATGCGTGCGTGCTGAGCGCGATGGTGCTGAGTCCTGTTGGAATGTCCAAGGTCTGCGGCAAAATGTTTGCGTGCCCAAGGCTTAAATACACCCTCCAGAATATTTTCGCAATAATATTCGGCATTTATTCTGATGCCACGGTCTATTAATACGAGTGGAAAGCGACCATCGGCTGTTATGTCGGCCCACACCATCACCATGGCTGGCGCTTGAGTTATGGTGGCCAACCGAAGGTTCAAATTTTCAGCTGACCTCTTTGGCAAGTAAACACGATCATTTTGTTTGTTTACAAACTGCTGGACAACGAATGTTTCCTCATGGGAGAAAACCACTTTCGCCCCAGCGAAGCAACTCTTTAGCTCTTTTGAGTCTATTTTCTTTCTGTTGCGGTGTAAGTTCTTGCACTTTTTTGAATTTCAATGGCTTTACCCCGAGCTCATTTGCATTTCTCAGTACGTTCCAATGGAATGGAATCCTTGCCACGGCTGGGCGTTACGTAATCATCAGTGAATATTAGATCTATAATTTTATTTTCCTCTATAAGGCAATGTCTGTAACCAAAAGAATAACAGAAGAGTTACAATTACACAACATAAATAATTAAACAACGAGGAAGTTTGGCAACAAGTGAGCAGCCAAGTCATCATCATATGTAAAGAAAGTTATAATGTAGGCAAATGCAATATTAGAACGACAAACTAGGAATATATCACACATTGGCAAGGGTACCTCCGAAAAAATAAATAAAAATAAAAAAAAACACAACACCTGAAGTTACCAAACCACTGACCCATACTAAAACATTTTGAAATAAAATAAAACGATACCCAGAGCAAAGAGAAAAATATTTCATACAAACGTAACTGTATTTGTGAGCATGGATGCTGCTAAATTTCAGCCACTTCATTCATAAATTGATTCATTGAGAATAAAACATTACCCGTAACGTGCCTCGGTACATCAGAGAGTACGCTTTTTGAAAAATAGCTAGTTTGAAAAGTAACAAGTAGTGTTGCCATTTAACATTTATTTGAATTATTTTTTGGCGTTTTACCAATATTGAACAACAATTAATCTTTTAATAATTCCTGACTATTTTGCGTCCGATAGATCCTCTATAAAACTAAAACGCATTGTTATTTAAAAAAAATGGTTCAAGAAAAATGTTTCTATACCTGTGGTATGTCACTACTAGTATTGATAATTACATTTTATTAGTTCTTAGAGGCAGTTTGGTAAGCACTCACTGTTATGTTGTGGCTCATATAAACATAATGAGATGGGATGCTGATTTATAAGTAGGTATTTCTGCTAAAATATACTTCATACACTTATTAGTTGGTAATGAGATTTCACTGAGATTGTCCTGTAAAATTTACAAAGAATCAGTCGTTGTTGCCGACAGCTGCACACCCTCAGCCAATGTTCGGTTATTTAAATATATTTTGACTTGCAATATGATTATTAAAGCTATTAACCAATCGTAGGAGTGATTCCGAAGAATAGGGCCAATTTTGTACATTTCGTTTCTGACATAAGTTTCATATAAATATTAAAACGTGTCAGTATATGTATGCAATATATGAGATAATTGATAATTTTTCGAAAAGTTTGAAATATGTGTGAGGTGCCGCATATGGTGGACCGAAGTAATCAACTTCATATAATGCTAATAGAAAAATTGAGATGTACAAAATGTAAAGAAAATCTAAATGTATTTCTATTTTTTCGCATGTTATGAGAGATACAACTAATGAAAATTGTTACCCTTTGTGGGAGAGATACCAGAAGGAGAAGGTCGATAGCTATCACCTTCACACCAGATCTAGTATTGGAAGAAATATTGAGATATGCTAAATTTGAAAGTACTCAGATGCTCATTTCGCGTTTTATGAGTTTAATGTTTATTCAAAATGTTGATCCTTTGTGGGGGAGGAGTGGGCCGATATCTACAATATTCGCAACAGATCTCGTGCTAATAACAATATTTGGATGTGTGAAATGAAAACAAGTAAAAAAGCAGTAGTAAGCCGAAGTTTGAATTCAATCTACCATTTGGATCAAATTAGGAAATTTTCAAAAAAAAAAAAAATCTGTTAAAAATTATGTTAAAATTTAAAAAATACCGAATATAGCCGTTATATTAGGGTCTATATAAAGACGTGGACCTGCATGGGCAAATTCTGTCATGAGCCATTACAATATTCAAATACGAAACTTGAAAGAAAATCCGGTGAATAATGTAGCTAAAATCATCAAAATACCGAATATAGGAGGTACCGTTATATCGGGGCTATACAAAGACCTGGACCTGCATAGATAATTGTCTGTCACAGGCTGTAGCCTGTGGAGGAACATAGAAACTTCAAATACTAAATTTCAATCAATTTCAGTGAATATTGTACCTAAAGTCGTCAAAATACCCAATATAGGTAGAAACTGATATATGGGGACTTTACGAAGATCGGGATCTGCACAGACAATTTTCTGGCATAGACTGTAGTTCTCATTATGAATTTTAAAGACGAAATTTGAAACAACTCCGGTTAATAATGTCTCTAAAGTCGTCGAAATATCGAATATCAGGGTTTGTATGTGAGCTATACGATATCTTTGATTTATGTAGACATTGCTATTTCAGGGGGTAAATTTCATAGAAAGAACTTCTAGTATGGTTTTTAGACAATTCCATTAAAAAATGTGGCAAAATACCGAAAATTGGGGGTACTGTTATATGGGGGCTATACGATATCGTGGCCCATCTTCGAACTTGATCTGCCCAGAATTCTAGCTTCCTATTTCAATTCGTCGTGATTCTAGCGGGATTACAACAGATGGCAAAAAATGTTCGAATATTGTTCGAATTGGTCACGAATTATGGGAGGAGGAACCTCATTTTGTAACCATTCTTGGTTGGCGGGTGCTGAGTGCGATGGTGCTGAGTCCTGTTGGAATGTCCAAGGTCTGTAGCCAAAATGTTTGCGTTCCCAAGGCTTTAATACACCCTCCAGAATATTTTTCGCGATACTATTTGGCATTTATTCTGATGCCACGGTCGATTAATACAGGCGGAGAGCGACCATCGGTATAAATATTAGTATGTGCAACATTTGAAGGAAATCGAACATTTATATTCCATTTTATGCGAGATCATAAATTCCGATAAATCACATATTCATATCAGATTTCTGGTTAAGAGAAATTGTTAGATATAGCAAGTTGTGAAGAATCGTCAACTGTTTTCGCAAGTTATGGCAGATATAAGAATTGGAAATTGTGACCCTTTGTGGGTGAGGTACTAGAAGGGATTCGCAGATGTATATCATATTTGCAACAGATCTTACGTTAGCACGAACATTTCGATGTGTGAAATTAGAGGGAGTTGGATGCTTATTTCGCTTTATTTGAGAAGGATTGGACCGATATATTCCATCTTCACACCAGACCGTGGATAAATAAAAATGTTGTGATGTGTGCAATTTGAAAAGACAATCTGACTCTTACATCACAATTTATAATAATTCAAAATTTTTACCCTTTGTGGGGGAGGTACTTGATGGAGTGGACCGATATTTTCCATTTTCGCACGTAGACATAGCACTGATGCAAATATAAGGACTTGCAAGTTGGAGCAAAGTCGGATTATCCTTTCTCTTTTTGTGCAGTAAATTATTTTCTTTGAAAATGTTGACATTTTCTGGGAGAGGTACCAGAAGGAGTGGACCGATATTGCCCATATCCGAAATCGATCTAACTGATAACTCTGATAATAATATTAAGATGTATCAAGTTTGGATCAAATCGGATACTCCCTTCGAGATTTATCGTTCGCACCAGCCCGACAGACAGACAAACGGACGTTCATCGTTAGATCGACTCCAAATGTCCTGAAACGGATTTGGTCCAAAGAGACCTAGGGTCTAAAACCGTTATTTCGATGAGACCTTCTCATATGATATATATCCTCTCTAGCCATATTGCTCAGGGTATAAAAAATCAAAATCGAAAAATTGACTTCTTACTTAATGGCAAAATTTGACTCTAACTTTATTCCACTATATCATTTCAAACAAGCAAAGATTTTGTCCTTTCACATTTATTTGTTGTTGGTGGCAACCCTAATAATGCACATTTGGTTTATCTGAAAGATACATTTTTCACAAACACTTGTATAAAACACTGAGTTGTGCATGCACGCATACACATTCGCTTGACCCAACGGAAACCGAATAATCGATTCGTTGAGAGCTCAACCAATCAATAAATACTCTGTGCATTCAACCAGCAATGAGCTAGAATAAAATGGCTGAGAGAGTGACAGGTGAGAGAGAGAGAGAATTACTCACACCTACAAACGAAATCATTCATTCACTTACTGGTATTCGTTTCCATTCAAGTTTTCTGGCTTTATATCTACGTTTTGCTTAAATGGAGAGAGAGTGTTGTTGGTTTGCATACCCAAAAGAGAATGATAGCTGGCTGGTGTCCGTGCCCCATGGGCGTGTGTATGTATCTGTGGAACAAGCATGTTGTTTACTGTGTGTAAAAATTTCAATACATTTCAGTTGATGCGATCAGTTTGAAAAGTAACGTCACATGAGTTGGTAGTAAACAACAATACTCAGCTTAACGGAAAAACGTGTTGCTCCGTGTAAATGTAAGACGTGTTTTGTGCATTCTCTAGCCAGTTGTTTGTTTTCTTGTTCCCCTCGAACGAAAGATTGTGAGAAAAACTCAATTCGCTTAAAAAATTGTTTTTTGGATTATTTTACGGTTCTTCGAGATTTAGCTTGGCATATTATAACATTTTGAATGCCATGAAATTTAATGTAAATATTTACAAAATTTAGTGAGAAATATGCAATAGCAATTTTTTGTGTAAATATTTTATCAGATAAGTTTATAAAGTTAATAAACAAATATAGAAAAACAACAAAAACAAAATCAAGAATGAAAACCAATTGATATTGTCGTGTGGAATAAATGCATGGTTGACTGGATGGCTGGTTATTTTGACGGCGTTGGCATAAACGCGCTCGCGCTTAACTCGCGAAATACTCGGTCACTCGTATACAAACAACCTGATGGCCTACGCCAAATACTCTCGCGCACACAGCCACTCGCACCCAAACAAATGTGGCTGTGTGACACCAGTTTTGTATTAAAGCGCAAATCTTTAAAATGCAAAATAAAACGGCAGCAACAACAACAAGAGATACAACTTTACGTTTTAATGAATGAATGATTTGATGGCTTTTATGAATGAATTTGTTAACAAAACACCCAACAGAGAACAACAGCACTAGAGCACATAAGCCATTGAGAGAAGCCGCAAAAAGCAAGAAGAAAAGCAACGCGAAATAATGAACGCCACGATGATCGTCGCCGATCAACCAACAGGGCAATACCAACACCACTAGCCCAGCATCCGCCCCGCCGTCATCAGTCAGCCCCAGCCACAGCATCAGTGAAACAATAACAACAATACAGTTTTTTCTTCTGTTTCTACATCAAAACAAAAACTTCAAACAAGTTGGTGGGCTGACTTGTTGTAGTTGTATTTTTCGTTTGGAATTTTCATTAATCGAAACGAGTCATAACGAAATTATAAAAAAAAATATAATAAAATCAAACAGCCACGAAACAGTTAAAAAAGAAGACTAGCTTCAAGTGAAAATGATCCTTGCTAACAAAAGTGTTTAAATGTTTTTTTTTTTTTTTTGGATAAAACTAAAAAATCATATAATATATAAATAATAATGGGATTTAATTAAATCTATGAAATAAAAAGAAAATGTGATAACATATATTATTTTTAAAAAATGTACATACGTAATAATTGGGATTCAAAAATGAACAATTTCTATCAAATTTTTGATTGGAATCTGAGATGAAGTTTCTGAACGCCCTACACACAGACACCCAACCAGCGATTTACTAAGATTCGCCACTTATTTGACGAATTGACAATCAAAATAATGCGTTTGACGCAATCCTTGTTCGTTGTAAATAATACTTTGCTCTATGAAAACCTTAAATGCAAATCTGTAAAATGTCCAATGAAAAATGAGGAAATATTTTTTTTATATTTCCAACTTCCCAAATCAACTGAAATTTAATTTAATTTGTTTCAACATAAAATTAATCCATTTCTTTGCTAAAATTTAAAAAATCAGCCAACTAATGTACTTTATGTTTCCAATTAGAAAAACTCGAACTTTTCTCTTATGCTGATCTTACCCAGCAAAACAAAATAAAGTAATTATGTAAAAATAAAAGAATTGGGTTTGAATATAAGGTCAACTTCGAATTTTTGTCATTGAAATCGGTTTGTAAAAATCTGAAAATGCCGTAAAGTTGCCGTTAATAGTTTTCTATTGCGAGTTCCAAATTCCAATTTACAAAAATTTGTTAAAAATGTCGCTAAAATCACTAATATATCAAACATTTCGAGGTACCGCCTAATGAGTACTAAAAACAGTTCTAGCTTCAGCAGTCTTCTGCCATAGAAAGCAGAATTCATTTCAAATTTTAAACGATTCCCCTGAGAAATTTGGCTAAGATCATCGGAATACCAAATATCGGGAAGGGCTATCGCAAAACGTGAACCAATGATCTGCCAAAGGAAGTAGAACTCGTTACAAACTCTGAGTAGCGAATTTTAAAGAATTCTTTTAGAAAATGGAATTTAAATCAGAGCACATATTTGCTCATTTCATATAAAAAAAAAAACTAAAAAAGTGCTAGGAAAGAGGAGAATCTGTTCGATTTTTAACAAATTTTGCTCCCACGCAGGAAACGAGGAAAATATGCTCACTCATATTCGAGCGATATCGGAAAATTTTGATTGCTAGATTTTTCTGCTCCCAGGAGCGCACTCGCTCGAATTCGAGTGAGTTTCACTCTCTCAATATTAAATATCGAGAGGTACAGTTTTATGGGGCGCTATTTAAAAACTTGGACCCATATATATGTTTTCTGCCAGAGGGGTTTTTGGCACCCATTACAAATATCAAATAAAAAATTGAAACAATTCCATTGACAAATACAGTTAAGATCACCCACCCGAAAATATGGACCTACATAGACAACTTTCGTCCCAGAGGTACCGTTATGACCTGTTTTTCTTAAGCAGTCCAAAGGGTTCTTTGATTTCCATCTCAAAAGAAATGCATTTTGGGTTACTGCAAACGTCTATATATGTCTATTACTCGAATGGTGACTAGAGTCGATAACGTGAGAGAAACGAAAAAAATCGAATTTCAAATTTAGGCCGCGAAATTATTGAAAAAAATTTGGATCTATAAAGACAATTTACCCCCTGACCCATTGATTACTGTTCCTAATATCACACAGAATTTCGACTGAAATGAGGAGGCTGTACAAAAATGTGGATCTATATAGACAATGTTCTGCCAGAACATTTAATCAGTAACTTTAATAAGTAAGGAAAAGCCAAAAGTCGGGCGGACCGATACCCTGCATCCCCCCCTTTGCATATTTAGTAGCACTACCCACACCGTTTTTATGGGGAATTTTTGAGAATTAAATTATATCAACTATGATTACAGATATGATTTAAAGTTGGAAGAAACTAATATATGGGAGAAATCGATTTCTACTAAATTTGACGGAGTCATTTGTGTCTGAACCAATATTTCTCAAAATCCATCCTATTTGAGCTGATATTACATTTTTAGGCACAATAAACATGAAATCGGATGAAGATATATGTGGGAGCTATATCCAAATCTGAACCGATCTTTATAAAATTTAGCAGAGGCATTTCTACGCTGTAGCTAATTGTTGGCACAAAATATCTTTGGTGTGGAGAGTACTTTGCGGGTGTGAGGGAGTTAAATAAAAATCGGATGAAACATATATATGGGACATATAGCTATATCTTAACCGATTTTCACCAAATTTGATGCACTTTTTTCAGGGTTAAATTCATTCGTATGTGTCAAAATCCATTCAATTCGGGCATATATTAACCTTTTGGTGCACTATAAACTTGAAATCAAGTAAAGATATATATGGGAGCCATATCCAAATCTGAACCGATCTCGATAAAATTTTGCAAAAGTATTTCTGAGCTGTCGGAACAAGATAAATAAATTCTGAAATATCTTCAATCAAAATCTAATAATTTATAATTTATGTTTCTGTTTTTCCCAGGTTAACGATTAAGACAAATTTATTTATTAATTAAATTAAAAAAATAAGAAGAAATCTGATGCCAAATAAAACAAAACAACTAAAAATCTAGTGAAATAAAAAAAAAACATATTGAAAACTTAGACCGAATCACCAAACGAAGTAATTATAAAACCAAACTAAAAAAATATATAATTAAAAACAAAACAAATTAACAATTTACTCTGTGCTGCTGTGGATTATAAAAAAAGAAAACGTAACACAAAAAGCCAGAAGAACGTCGACAACGACGACCAAGTCAAACATTAGAACAATCAACAGAATAAATATTTATGTATGTGTCGCTGTTGTTGTTTTTTGTGTTTTTAATTTTCATACAAACCAAATAAAAGAAGAAAAAAAAAGCTCAAGGTGTACAACTACAATTTTAAAGAGTAAATAACTTACAGCGGCAGCAGTTATACAACAACAGCAGCAGCCGCAACAACAAAAACGACGACGACTCACAATTGAAAGTGTCAATTATACACATCATTGGCAGAACTCAAGCTTACTTATTACAGCCAGAAACAATCCTAGACTGAGGAAAAAAAAATAAAAACAAACACTTGTTTTTTAGTGTCTAAGTGGTCTGGATATAGCCACACCAAGCCAAGCCAAGCCAAACCAACACATAACAAAAAAAAAGCTAAGTAAACCACCACGACCAACAACAACAACAGTGGCAGCAGTAACAACAAAAGCCGTAAGAAAAAATGTTGAGTTTAACGATATTTATGCTAGCAACACACATCATAAATGCCTGCTATAGCACGCGCCTACCGCTGGAAGTCTACGAGCTGACACCCAACGCAGCAGGTGGCACTGATTTGAAGCATAAAAATCTTGAATATTCCACAATTAATGGCGGCAGTGGCCAGCATTTTCTGGCCGTTAATGGTCGCAGCAAACAACAGCATGTATCAGCGTCAATGGAGGAACCAGAATTAAAGATGTTATCCTCGCACGACTCCAAGGCGACGGCAACAAAAACACTGACAGTGTCATCGATGGGCACGCCATCGGCAGCGGCGACAACAACGACGTCCTCCACATCGACAGCGACAGCAACAACAACAAATCAATTAGATCGCAGGAGATCGCGACAAATGTTGGATATAATGCAAAAAAACCATCATGATCAAACAGGAAATCATAAATTACCACCAGTCCTAAGCTCGGGTGAAGGAGCCGCAACCGGTGCCAGTCATTCACAAAAGGATGTACGCATTTTATATCAAGTCGGTGTAAGTATTCATTCCTCCGTCCAGCAATCTCAAATAATATCGAGAGAACAGTTCTGTATTTTTTCTGCGTTTTTTTTTTTTTTTTTGTTTTTGTTATTTATAGCCTGTTTGTTAAGTTTTTGTTGTTGTTTCAATTAAACAACGTTCCATTTTATTGTATGCTCTCAAATGTCATAACTTTGACCCTCAGCCTGATCTTTGGCAAATTGTTTGATGGGTTTTTATTACATAGTAGAAATTACGGGGCAATGATGCACAGTGGTACAAAAGTCAAAAAAAGAATAAAATTGGGATTGGTGCCAAATCGGAACAAATGAATTTGAAATTGAAAATGTACTCATGCCCAGTTTTTCTAAGGGCATCGAAAATGAAAACAAATAAAATAGTATCAGTCGGTTTTGTCGACAGATGTATACCCCCAGTCTTCAATTATGATTTTTCAAACTGCTGACCCTCTATGGGGGAGAATCCGAGGCAGTTAGCCAACATTGACCAATTCGTATCTGAACTGAGACTGATATAAATATTAAAACTTGCCAGATTTGCACCATATCGACTACTTCCCACACTTTATATTGGTTATGTGCAATTTTTTGATAAATGTGGAAATATATGTGATGTAACAGATATAGTCGAAGCCGAATTTACATACTTCATCTAATACAGATAAAAATATTGGTATGTGCAAAATTTGAAGGAAATCGAACATTTATATCCAATTTTATGCAAAACCATTCTTATTCGCTATTTTAACCGGAGCCCTTTGTGGGAGAGGTACTGGAATTCTGTATTCTGTGATGTACCAGAAGGTGTGTACCGATGTAACCCATGTTCCGACCATACCTTGGGTTAAAAAATAAAGCGATGGGTGTAATTTGAAAGGAACCGGAAGCTTATTTATGTTCGTTTTTGTTATTCAAAACTTTGACTCTTTGTGTGTAAGGTACCAGAAGGAATAGTCCGATCCCTACCATCTTAATAATAGATTTTGTGTTAACGGAAACATTGAGATGTGCCAAGTCTGAATGGAATCGGATGTTAATTTCGCATCTTATAATCTTCATAGATATTCAAAATTTTGAACCTTTATGGGGGAGGTACCTGAAATAGTAGACCGATATTGCCCAACTCCGAAATTATTGCCTGAAATTTATTATCATTTTCACATTGGCCACAGAACGACAGATTTTCAATCAGCTGGTATAATTCTTACTTACTCAATGAAGCTATGTGTATCTGTCAGTCTATCCACCATAATTTCATAGCAAATTCAAACTCCAGTTCGAGGTCCAAATAAAATGGACACCTATAATTTTTAGTGATGATCGCAGAATATTTGAGGGATTAAATAGACCCAAAAATAATGTCTTCTTTATTTTGAAGTCGTTCTACAGATCATATTTTCAGCCCACGCAAATGTAAGAATTAAGGACATAGAAGAAGCCTACCATTTTCAATGTTGATCTGATGATAGTTAGCGGTCCAAATGACACAGAACTTTTGCGTGAAAATGACAAAATTGTGTGTTTCTAAGGCTGAAGATGACTTCCTGAGGAGTTCAGATATACATTAAAATGGAACACCGGACATGTACAAAGTGTATGAAAATTTTCCTCACATCAAAAAACTGATCAAAGTAAAGACACTTATTTAAATGATTCCAAATTTGTTTTTTTTTTTTTATTTTTGCATTATATTTTTCCCTGTGGATTGGAAACCCGTTTCCAAAGATTTTTACATAATTGTATATGTTGAGATTTTCATGCCAACCAACGACTTTCATGCAACGTGTTATGTTTTGCACCTGACTTTTATGATTTGTTTTTCTTACCACGTCTTCTTCTTCTCCTTGTTGTTTTGGCGTTTGAGAAAAGGCAACTTCTACAAATGAACACCAACGCCAACAAAACACAAATAACAAAAACAACAACAGCAGCAGCAGCAAGAAAAACTGCATTCATAGCATTGGCACATTGATACCATGTTGAGTTGTAATCCACTTGAGTTGAGGAGGTTTGCTATGCGGCCCACGCTAAATGCTGGGGAGCAAAAAAGAAAACAAACTGTAATGTTTTACAGTAAAAGTAAATGATATCGGGACTCTCCACTTGAAGAATGCACCATTTTCTAAAATTTGTCAGGTTTAGTTAAGATTTTTAAAATTTAGGTTTATTTCTGCAGAATTCCAAGAAAATACAACATTAATCAGATCTTATGAATTTAAATCTTAAATAAATAAAAATATGTCTGTTTTTAAGAAGATTTTCTATCAATAATACCTTCAGTACCTTCAATATTGTGTTGTAATATATATTGTTGAAGTCAGGTACTCTTATGGGTCGTAGCCAAAGATCCTCTGGAGTGGGTTGGATAGGTTTGGCAGAACAATTAAACAGATGAAGCGTATTCTGCGGGTCTGTATCCCACGCTGGGAAGACGTTTCACACCCAATTCGCTCCAAATACGAATTCAATAGGTTACACCATTCAGAACGGAGTTTAGCCAAATTACCTAGGTTTGTCTAGGCAGGCGACGTTCTTCGGCTGCAATAGATGGGAGATGAACTCCGAGAATGACATTCATACGGTAATGGACAACTACATCGGCGACTGCATCAGAATGAATGCTATTCAGACGTACCTGATAGGTTTCCTGATCTAGAGTCTCTATCTTCTATCTCTCTCTCTATCTCTCTTTTCCGTATAATGCATTTACTGCAACGAAAGCATATAATAATGCTGACGTAATGGCCTTATTTTTATTTAGTTTATTTATTAACCAAAATATATGTTAGCATTAGTTGATCATATCATAATTGAAATAACCGTCCTTTTTCACAAAGCCATCTACTATAGCTTCCTCCTCGTTCCTTTACACTTGGCTCTTTTAGAAGACATAATAACAACATCGTTCGAATCAAAACAACCTTTGGAATGTTGTTTTTATAGATAAATCATTTATTTGTTCTCTATTGATTTCTTTTCTATAAATAGACACGTAGAAAAAAATAACATTAGAATCTAATTTAAATTGCAAAAGCACAGAAGAAAACAAAAAAATAAACCAGAAACTAAAAACAAATACTGGAAAAAAAATTGAAGAGAAATTAGCGCAGACAATTGATCTGCCAGACATGTTTTGCAAATAACAAAAAAATAATTTTGTTAAAATCAAAATCAATATTCATTGAGAAAAATAGACTCCAGACTAGTGAGTTGTTAAAAAAAAAAAAAAAAAAAAAAAAAAAAAAAACTCTTAAAGAACAAACCTATTAATGAGGGATCAAGAGAATGGTTTTTTGCTTCTCAATAGTTTTATAAATTGTTGTTTAGATAATTTAACATATTTTTTTTTAAAACATCTCAAAGTTAGCAATATTTTGTGTAATATGATAGGAGCAGCAATGATGTTTGGCTTTGCATTTGATATGAATCAAATTTGCAAATGTCCTCTTCTCTACCCATAGATACAAACATGCATACAAAATTCGTACGTTCATGCATACATTAATAGATGCAAACATACTTACATACATTTAAAAAATAAAAACACACACGCCCACACACAGTTTAAATCCATTTGGAATTGAACGCAATATTGGCGCCCAACGTATCAATTGCACAATTCCCATTAATTTCAATTTTAATTGTTATTATTGCACATTGCAATTTTTGCTTCTATTTCTTTTTCGGATATATGAAACTTGAAATGGAAAAGCAAACGCGTTAAACGGAAGTGTGTGCCTCTATGTTAAGTATTCGGTAGTTGAAAATCGTGTTGTTGCACTTTGGAAACCTCGTACTATCAAATCATTGCAATCATAATCTATGACTTTTGTTGCCATGGAATTGACAACAGATTATCAAAAGAAGAAGAAGAAGAAGGGCAGGGCGGTTCTTTTGTACATAGAAGCACAACAACTGTATGACAAAAACTTAAAGACTGCCCGGCATGATTAAATTTTGTTCGATTTTGAAGGAATTTTGCTCCCACTCAAAAACGTGGAAAATATGCTCACTCCTATTCGAGTACAAATTCGAGGGAGATTTTCAGATGTCCGATATTTGCCGTTACCAATTAACGAGTAACGTCGACAAAGAGTGTCCGCTTTCACTTACAAAACCTAAACTCACTGCCGTTAAACGAAGGAAAAAAGAGTTACAAAGTATCAGTCGATTTTATTTGGGGACATAGCATAAAGATAGGCTGGTGCACACGATAACTCTCGAAGGGAGTATCCGCTTTGGTCCTTACTTGATATATCGTAAAATTATTATAAAACTTGAATGGAGTTCAGAGATGGGCAATATCGCTTCACTCCTTCTGGTACTTCCCCCCAAAAAGGTCGTATTTTTCGCAGAAAGAGAAAGGATCACCCCATATTGCTCCAACTTTACAAATCTTAATATTTGCATCAGTGCTAGGTCAGGTGTGTGGATATCCACGAAGCACATAAAACGCAAAATTAATATCCGATTTCATTCAAACTTGACAAATCTCTATATTTCTATCAACACATGATCTGTTATAACGATGGTATAGATCGCATCATTCCTTCTGGTACCTTCCACACAAAGTATCCAAATTTTGAATAACCAAAACGAGCATAAATCTTAATAAGCATCCGGTTTTTTTTTTTCAAATCTCATTAATTTCATTAATTTCAAATTTCTCATTATTTTTACTAACACAAGATTTGCTGTGAAGTTGGGAAATATCAAAATTCAAAAATTCAAAATTTCTCTTCAAGTTTCAAACATCCAAACATTTGATCTATTGTGACGATGATAGGTATCTACCAACCCCTTTCGGTATCTCACCCACAAAGGGTCACAATTTTCAATACTTATATCTGTCATGACTGGCGAAACATGTCAGCGATTCTTTACAACTTGCTATATATACATATTTTTCTGAACTAAAAGTCTAATATGAATATGGAATTTATCGGAATTTATGAGTTGTCATAAAATTCGATATACATTTTCGATTTCTTGCAA